CTGGAAAAACTCCGTTAGCTTTGAATTAGCATGTAGCTAATGTGCCGCTTGTATCCAACTGTGGAGCTGATCAGATTGTTAGTGCAGTCAATAACCAAAGCTTGCCCTCTTTGTCCAAGCACGAACACACAGACAAAACTAAAGTTCAGAGAGTCAAAATGACCGAACATCTATTAACAATCAATCAATCAATACTTTATTAATCTCAGAGGGAAATTAGAGTTTCAGTACACACAATTCAGAGATCAGACATACATGGGCAAGACACATGACAAGAATTGGTGACTGTGGTCATGCGCAGCCCGAGTCGCGCTACCTTAATAGAGATGAGAGGGTTACATGAGGATTGGTTCAGGTGGAGGGAAAAAAGGCACTTCAGAGTTACCCTCCACTGGGAGGGCAGCTTTGCTCTGCAAAAAAAACAAAACACCTCAAACAGATATGCAACAGACTTCAGACAACACAACATAACATGAGACTCCAATAGGAAGGCAGGGTGTCATGGTCTGCATCTGCCCCCTCCTTTATGTGCCTCCTGGTGTCCTCCATCCCTCTCTAGATTCCCTCTTGTGTCCCTTTGTTCCCCAGCTCCTCTTGTGCTCCACTCCAGGTTCTCCCCTTGTGCTCTCTTAGTGCCCTCATGTGTCCTTGTCTGCATCCCTGTTATGTGTCTTATGTTGTAGCTCTTTGGCGCCCTCATGTGTCCTTTTCTGCGTGTCAGTTTAGTGTCTTATGTTTGTAGTCCTTTAAGTCTATTCCTCCCAGGTCTTGTGTCATCTCATTCATCCCCAGGTCCTCCAGGTCTCATTTACATTCTGTGTCCTTGTAGTCCCCAGCTTCTTTGTCCCCAGCTCAACGTGTGTGTGAGATTCAGTCTCCTGCTCAGTGTTTGTGTGTGTGTGTGTGTGTGTGTGTGTGTGTGTGTGTGTGTGTGTGTGTGTGTGTGTGTGTGTGTGTGTGTGTGTGTGTGTGTGTGTGTGTGTGTGTGTGTGTGTGTGTGTGCTTGTCCATTCCCCTTTCCTGTTTATATATAAGTACATTGGTGTGTGTGTGTGTGTGTTAGTCCTTCCTGCAGCCTTTAGGTTTAGTTTTGGTGTCTTAGTTTCTTAGGGTTATTTGGCCCTCTGTTTCTGTTTCCCATTTTGATTATTAGGTTCACCTGTCTTCCCTCCAGCTCTCACTTCACACACCTGCTGCCATTTTCCCTGATTGCTCCTCCCAGTGTATTTAAGCCCTGTCTGTCTCTGTGTTCTTGTCGGTCCATTAATGTTTGTTGATTCTGTCAGTTTAGTCCCTCTGTGTTTAACCAGAGTTTCTTGATTCCCAGATAATAATCTGCTCTTTGACCTTTGGGATTTTTGGCTTTTTGGATTTTGACTCCCAGTTTGGATTACCTTGGTTTTTGGCTCACCCACAAAATAAAGACTTTTTATTTAAAATCTTCATCCCTGCCTCCGTGTCATCCTGGGTACTGCATTTTGGGTCCACACCACCGCATCGTGACACAGGGGGGAGGCTGGGATCCTGTTTCCCCCAGCGAGAGCAGCCATCTATGGCGCTCATCTACTGTACAGTCACAGGTGGGAGGGAGATCTTGGGAGAAGCAAAGAGCACATTGACTCCTACAGGTTGATGACCTCGCCAGGCTGAAGTCCACCAATCCGAAGGCGGGGGGGGGGGGGGGGGGGGGGGGGGGGTAGGTCGGGTTTTTACAGCATCTGTCTGCATTTCTTCGTGCTCGCCGCTCAAGGCTACCTGGGCATCAGATTCAGATAACAAGGGTTTGTTTGGGTCAGGCTGAGATTATTTTCCTCTCTTCCTTCAGCCTTTAAACTGATCATTTCCAGTCCTTCAGTGAATCCAATTTTGGGGTTTTAAACCTGTCCATACCGTCCGGTGACTCTCTCCGAGATGACATCCATTTTGCGCACTAATACCGGTATCGCAGCTAGAACATTGTCCAGCTTACGATTCACCTCGAGTAACGTCCCAGTCTGAAAAGTCTCCACACGGACGGTGCTTTCCGTGGGTGCGGGTCGCCCTCCAATCGCTCCCGTCTTCCCAAATTTCCAGAAAACCAAATATCCACCCACTCCAATCAGGAGAAATCCATTGATCATCAGGCCGAATATCCACACGTCTTCGATGTCCTCAATGTACAGCTGGCAGAGGCATATGATCTTCCATTCCCTCCAGGAATCCAACATACATCCCACCGAGTGTGTCCCCTGTGGACATGTGGGGGAGCCCCCTGCTCCGTTCTCATTGTTGAAAAAATCTTATCGATCGCATTGAATGACCAGTTTATCAAATCCATGGTTAGTGAAAATAGTTTTTCAGAGGGAACCTCAACGTGAGGCTGAGGCCTTTCCCCTTAGCTAGCTCGGAAGTCAAGTGGCTCTGATTCTCATTAATTATTCCGAAATTTAAGCAATTATATTTATGTTTATTTATTTGGCCTAACCTATAGGGCATGTTGTGATCTGTGGGGGAGTACCTGGAGGAAACCCACGCATGCATGGGGAGAACTTGAAACTCCACGCAGAAAGGCCACAGCCAGGTTTCGAACCTGCAACCTTCTTGCTGCGAGGCAACAATGCTACCAACTGCACCACCATTCAGCCCATTTAATTACACTTAAACAGAAGAGTTACAAATAAATTCAGCTAATGAGCTAATGAATAAAGCACCAACCCTAATCCCATACCTCTATAGGGCAGGCCCTTTTAACATTTAATCAGTAATCACACCTTTTATAGCTTCATGCCTATTTTCACATAGCAACAACATCATTGGTCCTAGTATAAGTATTATTCTTACTAGTCATCACTGAAATTAAAGGCATCAACAGCTATTTTGTTACCAATATAATATTATTTTAAGGACATGTTAGTAACTGCTTTAGGAATGAAGTTTGAGAAATGCTGTCTTTAAAAAGCTGGTAGGCGGCCATTTTAACACTTATTATACAGACTGGATGATTTCTCTAGACATCTATAATAACATTTCAGATGAGCAGCAGACTGAAGTTAACTTCTGAGAATGATTTAAAAACATCAGTTGTAGGTAGTAAATATGACAGATATTCAATGTTTCACCAGGTTGTGACGCTGATACAGCAGCTACCATCATCTCTGTTGCTGCTGATCACAGCTGCTCTCTGAGGGACAGAAAATCAATCAGCTTTGTGTTGATTTTTTAGATTTAATATTATTTTAATGATTTGTAAGTGGTTACTTTAAATAAATAGTCAATAGAATATAAATGTATTCAATAAAATGTAATATTCCATGAAAATATGGACTATCAATATTATTGAGCCTTTAATGTTGGATTGATGATGAAACTACATACTTTGGTTAATCTGGGGAAACAACATTTTATAATAATTAGACTTGGAGACAAAAATATAGTTTATAAAAAACAATTTATTACTATATTAATGATGATGAAAGGCAAATGATTATGAATGGTGATTCACAGTGAAATCTAATGAGACAATGAATAAGCTCTGATGAAACATGACCTGGTGTGTTAGAGTTTTCTAAGGGACTCAGAAAGGTGTGATGCCTGGTTTATAAAATAAATTCGGCTGTTTGTTGGAAAACAAGAACAAACGTGTCAACAGAATGTCTGGTAACTCCGATGAAGACATTCTGTTGAAACGTTAGTTCTTTTTTCTTGCGCCTAATAAATTATAAGATTGAACTGAGAGCTCCGGCCCGCTCCCCATTTAGTTTCGTGCTGTGTCTTATTTATTTGTGTGGGAGTTTTGGGTTGTTCTAAATTGTTGTAACTAATTAATGAAAGGGTTAACAGGATATTTCATCCCCTGTAGAAGTCCAAACATTAGTCGGTAGGACCAGTGGCGCCCACAAGGGGAGGCCAAAAAATTGCTGGCCACCCCAGTGGCCTCAAAAGAGGAGTTTAATGAATCATATTAATGTTCACACAAACTATAAATTCATCTTTATCAGACATAAAAGTAAAACCCAACAAAATATACAATTAAAGAGTAAACAAATAATCAGATTGAAAAATATTGATTTCTCCTGCTCACCATTTTAACTCATTCACGGCCAGCCGTTTCCAGATCAGAAAGCCCTTCGCTGCCAGCGTTTTTCAGTGTTTTCATAGTTTTTTTAAGAGTCACAGAACGTTGCGCTCTAGGATGATGTCAACGCCAAAACAACCAAAACAAAGAGTAAGACTCACCTCTTACTTCAGGAAGAATTGCACGTTTCAAGCTTTATCCGTTCTTTCGTAATTCGTTGTGGAATTGTGATCGGCAGAAGCTTTTCCGGTTCGCGCCTCACCTTTTTTTTACAGCAGCGGCCCAAAACGATCTCCTAACACATGGATGTTCTGCTTCCTGATCACGTGACGTGTGACATATGCGGATGAAGATCGGCTTTAGAGCTGGGATGTTTGTTCTCACAGTGCGGGGGCTCGTCCGACGCCCACACAGTAAAAAAATGCAAATGACTGCTTTAGTCGTCAATAGCAGTGAGTGGTTGGATTTAAAATGACGACTTATGGCAGTGAATGAGTTAAAAACAAAAGTTTAGATCTTTATAGTTTTTGAGGATGTTTTTGTCAAAACAGCAATTAAAATGTTTTTAAAAATAAAATAACAGAGATGTCTTTTTCTGAAAAAATTTTATTCTTCAATTTTGAGGTAAGTATGCTTGATGCATCTTGTTTGTTTTTAAAAAAAAAGAAAAACAACAAAAGGAGCATGCACTGCATCGCCACAGGCTAAGCTCTCCTAGAGTTACCACACGGACCAATCTGGTTTGCCACATCAAACGTTTTTTCTGGCCCCAATTGGCCACCCCTAAGTGATCTGGGGGTGCCACTGTGTAGGACTAATGGGCTAAAGCTAGTCTGAGCTAATGGGCTAACCAGTAATCAGCATTTTTACATGAGCACTAGGATACAGTAGGTACTTTTATATCAGTATCTGTAATAACAAACACAAACTTTGTTCCTATTGCCAGATATTCTGCCTTCAGCCATGCAAGATCTTCTGTGTATGCAGAATGATTTTCCTCCTAGAGCGCACTGCCTGGTCAGATGGTGAGTTCATTACATTACTTTTTCATTCATATGTTTTAACTTCATATGCAGAAATCAGAGAAACTATACATAAATAAGAAAACCCAGAAGCATTACTTAAATGGTGGTGTTACAATGCGGCCCATGGGACTGCAACATAAATGAAGACATGTTGGGAGTTTTAGAGAAATTTTTTATAAAAACAGCCTTTTAAAAGACCCCACTGAAATGGCAAACCCACAGGAACTCCCAAGGTGATGTCTGCACCAAGCAGGCTTCTTTCCTGATGCCCCTCAGCAGAATCAAAGACTGCACACAGCCATGCCAATGGAACACAGAGGGGCGTAACAGGTTGAAATGCAAGTCTCAGACTAATTAATTCCTTATTCTCACTTTTGAACTCAGATAAAATCTTTATGCGATTTTTAGAGACATCACACATAGAATATGGTACCCTAATTGTTTCACTAATAGTTCTTTAAATAACAAGTTCACTCATATTTTTAATACATTTGCAGTAGCCTGTAGTAGGAATGCATGCCTTGTAAGTGGCACTCTGACGAAAAAAGCTCCAGTGTGCCTGTTTCAGGAACTAAAAGTGAGCTAGATCAGACTTCCTGGACACTTGTCTAACGGCCTTCCCTGTCGTGAGTCAAGATGTGAGTCAATGAATGTTAAGTGACAGCATGACGAATATCTGTCCATCTTTTCTAGTCTCTTCACCATCTGTTTTCCATCAGAAGCTAATGCAATAGACAGGTGTTGGAGACTTTACTTCGGGGTCACTCAACCGCATTTTTCGCGCTAAAAATGCTCGGAGAAATTTTTGTTAGCTTTGAGTTAGCATGTATCTAATGTCCTGCTGATCTCCGATCAGTGAACATGAGCTGGCGTAAGAGGCCTGGCTACGATCACATCGGTCTGAGGTTCTGCTTGTATTGTAACAGTCCATATTAGAGCTCCACAGGCGACCAGCACAAGTACAGCCTCACGCGAAGCCATGACGCTGTACGGGTTGGCTCCCAGCTGCCCTGAAGCTACTTCTTAACTTCTTGGGTTAACTAAGCTAAGCATTGGTTCATTCGTTCCAACCATAACAACACCACCTGTAGCTCCACCTCTTTTTGCTTTTTTGGATTGTCTGGGCATGTCAAGACATGTGACACTGTCAAAATGGTGGTGGTGGGAACCTCCCATTTGGCATCAAAAACATATTAATCAGGCCAATTATTTGTCCAGTATATATGTTGATGGATGAATCTTGTTGCATTTATCACACTGTTAAGCAGTTAATACTTTTTGGTCTGTGTCGGTGCAAAGACGCACAACACCATTATGCATCGGCTCAAGGGTTCTCTATCGGGCTTGTAGAAGCTGATGGAAACATGCCCAACTACATAACTAACTGTCAAAAGTGACGGAGACCCCAAACTTGTGATTGGTCAGGAAGATATCCATCTATTTTTGGCCGCTTAACCGGGGTTGGGTCGCAGGGGCACTAGCCTAAGCTGGGAGTCCCGGACTTCCCTTTCCCCAGCCGCTTGGGTCATCTCCTCCAGGGGAATCCTAAAGCTTTCCCTGGCCAGCCATGAGACATAGTCTCTCCAGCATGTCCTGGATCTCCCTTTAGGCCTTTTCCCAGTTGGGACATGCCCAGAAAACTATTCCTCCAACCTGGTGTCCCAGAGCAAAGGGAACCCCAAGGTGCTGTTTAACACCATCAGCAGTATCGTCTTTCCTGCCTCTCCTACAGCCTCCATCCACTCTGTTGCAGACTGGGAGAGCTTTCTACCTTTCTTTGTGGACAAAGTCAGTAAGGTTAGATCTAGCATCTCTCCTTCAGCCTTATCGCTGCCTCTCCCGACTCCAACCCAGCCCATCATCCTAGATAGCTTTGCTCCTGTTTCTTAGCCTGAGCTAACCAAACTAGTTACCATATTTTCCGGAGTATAAGTTGCTCCGGAGCATATGTGTTGGGTATTTTTATAATTGTACCTTTTTGAGGCCTAAAAGATGCCCATTTTGTGTTATTAACACTTCATGAATCTCTTGTGTTGTCCAACTGTGGCTGTTTGTGAAAGGTTGAACAGAGAAGCTTGTTTGCAGTCAAGGATGTTGATTGTGGATTTCCAGGATGTTGATTGTAGATTTTCAAGGAAACCTCTGTACCTCTGTAACCTGAGAAGGCCCGCCTTCTCCTCCATCCTTTGTGAATAAAGCCCCTGACGAACTGGGAGCACATGGAAGTGACGTGGGGAAGCCTCGGAGGAGGTTCCTCTGCGTTAACTCTCCATTTATTTTGGGGACTCAGGGTAAAATGTCTTCCTTGTTGTCATGTGTGTTTATTTCAGGTTCCAGGGTTATGGAGATTAAATATTACCTAACATTCTAGTCTCCTGATGGAGACCGCGGGTATGCAGAGCTGGTGAGGTGAAGGCTTTGAGGCTGGAGCAGAGTGGGGGCTGGTTGGTTGAGTCCAGCTTCTCGCATGTTGATTCGCCCACATGGACATTACAAATAAACTCTCTCTCTGTGTGTGTCGTCCTTTAAGGTAATATGGGATAAATCTAATTACCTATCAATATGTCACACCAGCCATAAAATGTATAACAAAGAAGAAAAAAAAAACATATAAGTCGCACTGGACTATAAGTCACATTTTGGGGGGAAATTTTATTATTTTTCTTACAAAATCTGAGACCAAGCATTTCACATTGCAAGACAAGTACCGGTAACAATAACAGAATAAACAACCGGGGCGCAGCAGCGCGCCACGGTCTCCAGCAGAGGATGGCGGTGTTTCAAACCCTCCCAGCGGAACAGGGGAGCTCATTCCTGGGTCGCAGCCGACCCGCAGCAGCGCACCACAGGCTGCAGCAGGTGATGACTGTTAACTTTTTATTTGCTGTTATATCGTGAGAGTATCTGTTGTATCGCGAGAGTACCTGTTGTATCGCGGGAGTTCTGGAAGCCCGGGAGTTGTTGTTGTGTGAGCGGGGAGAAAATGGTGGAGGAATAAAGCTTTTGGCATGAGACGACGTCGTCTTGTATTTTGAATTAACATTGGTAGCAGAGGATGGCTTCCAATTACAAAGTACCACCAAAGCTTGATGAAGCCAGGCCATATGAGTGCTGGAAGAATGAAGTCAGTATCTGGAGACGAGTTACGGAGCTGGATAAAAAGAAACAGGCACTCACGGTGGCGCTGGGGCTCGAGGGAAGAGCCAGAGAAACGGCCATGGAGATACCCGCGGACGATTTGGACGACGATGCCGGTATGGAAATACTGCTTGCAAAACTTGACGCGGTATTTCAGAGAGAAGAGAAAGACCGCGCTTATGAAGCCTACTCGTGTTTTGACTCCATTACAAAGAACCACAGCGTGTCAATGGCAGACTACATTATAGACTTTGAACAGCGTTATAATCTGATGAAAAGGTACAACATGACGCTGCTTGACGCTGTGCTAGCATTTAAGCTTCTAGATACAGCTCGTCTTGATGAGAAAAGTCGACAGCTTGCACTGACAGCGTGCACGGACTTAACGTTTGCGTCTATGAAGTCTGCACTGAAACGGATTTTCGGAGGAAAAGTAGCCGGAGTTTTCAGCGGAATTCAACTGAACCAAGATGCAATTTTTCTTACGGAGCAAAAAGGTTTCAAATACAAACGAAACAGCGGTGCTTCGTCACGGAGTGGACAGCGACAACCACTACAAGGTACCAACCCACTTGACAAGTTTGGCAAGCGAACAAGATGTGCTATTTGTCAGAGCACTTATCACTGGGCGAAAGACTGTGCTCATCGTAATGGTGACCAAGTAAAGCTAACTGAGGATGGCAAAGTGGAGGAGTGTAACATTACTTTGTACACAAAAGCCTCAATGACAGACTCTGAAATCTTCCTGACTGAAGCACTGGGGTCAGCCATCATTGATACGGCATGTACACGAACAGTTTGTGGTCAGAAGTGGCTAGATAGTTACATGGGTGGCCTCAGCCAAGGCCAAGTAAACAAGTTGTTGCAATCAGAAATCCCCAGCTCCAGACCATTTCGCTTTGGGGATGGTACTGTTGTGTATTCCAGCAGAAAAGTGAAACTTCCAGCCAAGATTGGACAAACGAAATGTGACATTGAAAGGGAAGTAGTTTCTGTTGACATTCCACTATTACTGAGCAAAACGTCTCTCAAGAAAGCAGGGACCGTTCTAGACATGGAGAATGACAGCGTTGTCATGTTCAAGCAGCCTGTTCCCTTAGAGCTCACTAGTTCGGGACACTATTGTGTGGACATTAGAGATGAAAATACCACAGGAAGCTGCAATGAAAATGAAGTTCTCATGGTAACTGCTGAAATGTCTACAAAAGAGAAACAGAAAGTCCTTGTGAAGCTTCATAAGCAGTTTGGTCATGCATCTGCAGAGAAGTTATTGAGGCTCATCCAAAGCTCTGGTAATACAGATAGGCAATGTGCAGTTATTCTACAAGAGGTCGTTCGTAACTGTGACATTTGTCAGAGATATTGCAAAACCAAGCCGAGACCTGCTGTTGGTCTACCCCTGGCTTCTGAGTATAATGAGACAGTAGCGATGGATCTACATGAGCTGGAGCCCAATGTGTGGTACCTTCACATCATCGACCACTTCACACGCTTCAGCGCCGGCAGCATCGTAAAGACAAAGAAAGCTGCAGAGATGGTCAACTCCTTCATTCACACCTGGATAAGTATTCACGGTGCTCCCAAACGGCTCTACACAGACAACGGCGGAGAGTTCAACAACACAGAGATTCGGGACATGGCTGAAAACTTCAACATTGAGGTAAAGACAACGGCGGGTTATAGTCCCTGGAGCAACGGACTACTGGAGAGACATAACATGACACTTACAGAAATTCTCCTGAAGGTAAAAAAGGAACGAGGATGCGACTGGCACACTGCGTTAGACTGGGCCCTTATGGCAAAAAACAGTATGCTTAATGTACATGGTTATAGCCCACATCAACTTGTGTTTGGACAAAACC